CAGGAGAGCTGCCTGCAATTCAGTTTTGTTTAATTAGTCCCACAAAAAGCAACTGTTCACTCTGATAAGAGCAGAGCAAGAGCTGCAAAAAAACATCTCTTCTATGCACCAATTTAATTTTTCCATTATTACTTTCTGACATGAAAAACTGTTCATTCCTTTTTCTTGCTGGCAAACCAAGGGCACTTAGTCCTCAACTTCTGCCCTCTTCCTTAGCCTACTGAGCCCATCACCATGAAGTCACTTGGGCTGATCAGTCTCAGGGCTACCAGTTAACTATATATGATCACCGTGAAACCTGCAGTACCGATTTCCTCACGCGCTCACTAGCTGTGAGCTCAGTGAGCGCCCCGCACTGCACACTAGCTCACTGCCCATGCACGAGGATGAGAAGCTGCCAACTCTGTCATGGTGCTGACTAACTTTGACGCAGACTCTAACGGGTGCTTATCTAGCTCCTGCCCTGTGAGGTGACAAACTCAAGACATCCCTTCCTTCTTGCCATGCACCTTGCTCCCACTTGCCTACTTTACTCTTCCATCCTTCTGACCCATGCAAGCAAGAAGGCAAGCATCCACACATGTAAATCTTCAAGTTTTAGTTGCTTGCTTATCAGGTGTAGACATGATAGACTACAAAATACAAAAAGAAAAACAAGATTTCTTTTGTATATAAGAGTACATCATTTTTTTTTCCTTGCAGTCATACCAAATATTAGAGCATGATCTGAACATCTGTAATTCAAAATGTGAAGCTAATTAAAATCTTCACCTATTCAATCAATAATTCTCACCATCCTAACCTCAGAAAAAGGGGTTTGGGGGCTCTTTAAAAATATTTTTTGATACAAAGACATTAGTTGCTTCTGATTATTTCTTACTTGCCCCACAGTTATGAAAACTCTTACACCATGTCTTTACAATAAGCTTTTATAATCACATTTATCTGCCATAGACTTTCTTTCCTACCTCACATTGTGTAATATAAAAATAAAATAAATAAAAGCTTTACTTGTCTAGTTCTTTTGACAATATGACCAAATCTAGTTGGATCTAGGACAGTTTTTATGAAGCTATGCTTCTTTTAATAAATCAATTGCCTTTTGCAGTTCTGTTAGTTCTGTTCTGCAGTTCTGAAGTTCTCTAGATTCTAGAAGCAGTTTTTTTTTCCTGAGCACAGCAAATAAAGCAGCAGAAAAAATTAGCAGCACTCCACCATGATCACAAAAACTGTATAGCCAGGAGTAACTTAGATAGCAGCAGTAACAAAACCCCTTATTTTCTAAATATAAAACAAAAAAGTCAGAGAAGGGTTTAAATACCAAGATTGAATCACTAAAGCTAGCAGCTTATAAATGAGCTCAAAAAATCTGTTTTAAGTCAGATGACACAGTAGATAATTAAATTCTTTGTCTTTCCCCATTCTATTTAGAATCTTCTTCCACAAAAATTAAGGTGGCCCCTTAAAAGGGGATATTTTAAAAGGTGCATTTTAAAAGCGGGAGGTGGCAACACTGGCCTTATCCGACACTGTTTTGTTTCAGGGGAGAGGCAAAACTGCCCTGGGTACAGCTACGAACACCCGCCTCCTCCTGCACCTCGGCACCCAACACACACCAGATCTCTTGGCCCCTCACTCCAGCACCCAGAGATCCCAACAGGCGCTCGGCTTGTGAGAGCTGCTCTCAGTGTGGATGTGTGGACGTGAGGGATCCCGTTAGCACTGGGCACCGCAGGAAAGGGCCACTGCAACGGGCCCACCTGAGAAGATAAGCGGCAGGAGAAACAGCAGCCAAAATGCACAGGGACTAGGGATGTGCTGTGAAGGACTCCACAGAGTTGTGGGAATATGGGCAAGGAGGAGGGCAAGGGGGAAGAGGCAGGACGAGATGAGAATTTTTGTTTTCTGGTATTCCTGTTTTGTGTGCAGAAGTTTTCTGGTCTTGTTGAATACCAGAAAAGCAGTTATTGCTGAAGATTTTTTGAGTTAAAAGCCAATATATAGAAAAACAAACAGTTTATTGCTGCTGTAGTATGTCAGACAGAGAAAGGTGGTTTTGCTAAATAACTGAGAAAGTATTTAACAAAAAAAGAATTGGTTTAAGCAGCCCTAAAAGATCTCTTTTCCTAAGACAGACCGAAGCTAAGAGGTCACAGCAGAGAGAGATACACAAAAGCCCACTGTTGATTAGCTTAACTTCTCCTGCAAGCCCTTCCTTTCCTTCCATAATGTAAAGAGTAAAAAACAAAACAAAAACGCCTGGATACAGATGTTGACTCTCTTCTGAATCTTCTGAACTTTCGCACATGCCTAGGGACAAACAGGTGCTCTTGAAAGTGCAGTGGGCTCCAGAGTGCTTAAGGGAAATCATATGTACTTTCTTCTCTAAAAACCATTTCCCCCTTCTCCCCCTTAAATATTAGCATATTAGCATAATCACATGAAATATTTCTGTAAAATTTAAATGGTATTTTTAAAAGGTGCTCCTTTCAAGGATTAGGGTGATTTTTGTTGTTGATTTTAACAAATACGTAAGAGTTAACACATCTAAAAGTCTACATCACTTGTCTATACAGGTCTTTAATACAGGTTTCACCGACTCTGCAGAATTTACACTCTGGAATGAGGTAACCAATGTGACCCAGGTGATCTCCACTCGGCGCCATGAGGCACAACTGCTACACAGCAAACCAGACTCTCTGCAGGCAGAGCTGCTCAGCCCCCTGCACCATGAAAAACGGAAGCCTTGACAGCCCAGTTGCCAGAATGAGTTACTGGGAGGGTAGCCAAAGGCAGGCAAGGGAATAGATGCACTTAAATAAAAACAAAATACCAAGCCAAGCACACGCACAGCGCTGCGCAACGGCCCCTCCGGAAGGGAAAAGCCTGTTTTTGCTGCAGCCAAGGGCGACTGAGGAGGCAGCAGCGACTGCAGGAAATACTGAGGTAGCTGCGGAGCCGGGAAGGCTGGAGACGCCAGATAAGACGGGGAGATTTGTGCTCTGCAGGAAGAATGTAAATAAAGATGCAGCCAGTGCTGCTGTTAATTTCGATCAGAGGGCATTTTCCCAAACAAATAACATTTCAAAAGCATTGCCCCATCACGGCTCATTTTCCAGGGCTATCCAAACTGCTGCAGTTTTGCGCAGAGCCTGTGAGACCCCCCTTGCAAAGGCTCAGCAGGCAGAGCGCGGCAGCATGTGGCTACAATCAGGGGTTCCTTTCCTGCTCATGTAAAGACAAGGGCATAAGAAAGATGACTCGAAAATAAAAAACAAGCCACCTAATTATCCTGCTGGACAAATGCATAATGTGGGGTTTAGGCGTGATCATACCAGCAGTCATTTTGGAGTTGTACTTTCTTGCTATTATGTGCTTTGCAGGGTGGAGTTGTTTCTGTTTTGATTGTACCTTTTATTATTTTTTAAACTCCTACCAACTGTAAGCACTTCATATTTGGGCATAAAACCCATACTTGCACTGTAGTTTTTCAGGACACAAGCTTGTCACTTTGAAATCTGTGCATTACCAGTTTGGGAGATTTTCTTTTCTTTTTAATTTCAGTTATTCATCTGGTTTCACGATATCTCCATTCTTATCCAAAGAGATATGACAATATTTTTCCTAGTCTCTAAACCTTTTAACTGGGAAACCCTAGGATTTATTTCTCTGTTTACCAGAATTGATTAAAAATAAAGACTGAAGTCACTGTGCATGACAATTTTTAGCCTTTTCTTCCCATTACTTTAAAACACAGTGTTCCATTTTAAATAATTCTTTTGGGGTGCTGTTAAGGTTTCTTTTCCGCAAAAGATAAACAAATCAATAGCACTTCAAAATATATTCCCATATCTCACATCTTGAATTACCCAAGCTAGTTACAGTATTTATATCCAAACATACATATCAAACACAGACCTGATACTTTCTCTAAGCAAACAGCATTGTGAAATACTGCACAAATCAACAAAATTTTTGCCCACTTAGCAGGCAGAATTTAGAAGAGTATGACATAGCCTTTCAAGTCAGCATTACAAGAAACCACAGACCAGCAAATAATTATCACAGAACAGTGAATGTTTTTGTACACGCTGGCTATGCTCCTGCCCACAAGTCAACACAAAACACCTGTCAGTGGAGTTTTCTCAGGAGAGCCCCATTTCTTCATGAGAGATTAACATTTGTGATGAAAGAAGGGACAAGCCAATAAAGATGTTGGAAGAAAGGACACAAGAAAGGATATTTCATGCCTAGGCAAACCAGACAAAGCAACAGGAAAATGTGCAAAGAAAAGCCTTGAAAACTGAACATATCTCCTATGGTATCTTGAGCGCAAGGTAAGTGTGATTCATTTGTATGTGCAAACAGTACTTGTCAAAACCATTTCATTTAGGGAAGAGGAAGGTCATCCTCCAAACTAAGGATAAATGTGCACATACGAAGTACCAGCCATATCTTTAAATGATATGTGGGTACAGCTGCATCAAAAATAATTACTTTCTCATGGTAGCTGCTAGAGGAAAACTCTCATTTTAGAATACTTCTCTGTAAAGATCGTTTTCCACTAAATCTCATTCCTTAGGATAATGGAAAAAAAAAGTACATGATGAACCACTTCATCAGATTTTTTTTCATCATTTCTTAATATCATAGAAATAAGGCATGGAAGACTGACTCAAAAGAGGTAAGTCTGATAGGTAGTTTTAACACAGCTAAGAGTAGGATTTGGCAATCCCTTTAAGGTATAAATTTTGAGAATAAAAAACAACCCAAAAACCCCAGGCACTTAGCTAGGGGACATCCAAAAGAGGAGCACGCTTTCAATTTCGCTGTGTTGGAAACAGGAGGATGGGAAAGGATGAAAGTGTCTGATAGCACTAGTTTACTTAACATTTTGCGAGTGCTAACACGACAAACTTGCTGCAACAGGGCTTCTGATGTGGCTTAAGCAACAACTAAGAAAAACACAGAATTTCATAGATCAGACAAAATATTCTTACCGATGACTTCCATCCAGATTTGACTTGTGGATGAAATTCAGTTTAGCATCTGCCCAATACAGTTTCTGTTCTTCATAATCCAATGTCAGTCCGTTTGGCCAATAAATATCCGTGTTGACTATAATGGCACGGCTCGAACCATCCATCCCAGCACGTTCTATCTTTGGCACTTCTCCCCAGTCTGTCCAATACATGAACCTGTAATTATTTAAAAAAAAAAAAAGAGAGAGAGAGAGAGAGACAGTTACGTTTCATTCTGTAGTTAGATTCCTGGATATTTCTTTCGGTAAAGGTAAAAACTGCCTTTCTTCTTGCAGGGCTCTGCCTCTGGAGCTGTGCTGTGATACGTTTGTTCTGGGAAACACAGCAAAACAGGCACTTTACGGTGCCTGTTTAAGGAAAACAACTTCTAAGACACAAACCCACAGTACAAGTTAACATTATACTTCCAGATGTGCCTTTCCTTAGGTCAACTAAGAATGTTAGCAATATCCAGCAGATCCTGTCAAAAGCCTTCTCAGAATTCAGAATTAGAGAAGATGAATATTAGGCTGCCGTAAAAGTATATCCACCACTTCAAAATGGGCCAGAGCACCAGGGGATAATGGAAAAAAGTGAGAAAACATGGCTTTATAGCAAACTTTGGAGCTGCATATGAAGCAATAACAATTTTATGGAAGACAATTTATGTCTTTTTTCCTCGCAGAAATTCACAGAAAGAGAAGCAATGTGTTTATAGTCAGAGTTTACACCGAGCGACCATGGAAAACACTAGGTATCATCTTCTAGAACTAGAGCAGCAAGTTTTAAAACATGTTGGCATATATATTGGCTCACTTTCAAACAATGTTTAGCAAGTAAGGAGGAGAGAGAAGTTATCTAGTTGCATTTAAGAATGAGGTGAAGCCAGGGAAACCACTGCACTATGGCTGGAGACCAGCAGGGAGGGGAATATTTATCCTTTTTCCACAGGTGGTAGAAAATTGATTTACTTTTCTGGGTTGTTAACAGAAGGCAGAACTAGACCAAAATACTATATAATGTAAATATATGAGGCAAAGTGTGTCAGTGAAGCTTGTTCTGTTTTGTTGACACAGCTGTGATAGGCTAAAAGACTACTGTCCTAAGCCACTTGTCAAAACCCCATGGGATCTGCCAAAATACCTGCTTGTATCAGTGCTCTCTAACCTGCCTCTGTCAAAACAATCCAGATTAGGAAAGATCTGAGGCCTTTAAACTGGCCCAAATCATCGCACAACCACAGTATGTCACTATATGGTGCCCACATGTGAAGAGGCTTGGCCACCCATCCTTTAAAGAAAAACAAATGTGCAACACATTTAAGAAACATTTGCAGATGAAGTTATTCTTGGCAAAGATTTATTTATTTATTTATTTTTCATTTTAAAAAGTCAGGAAATTCCATGTCATATTTTCCCCCTTAATTCATGTCTACAGCATGTTTGCTTTAATGCACAGACATATCTGCAGACAGAAATGCAGCTGATTAGCACAAACATTGCCCTATTCAATCCCAAGTGAGTCATTCTTTATGGAGCAACGTCTCTGCCTTAAACACAGAGAACAAATATGTGAAGCGAATGTGTGAGATTTCTATGTGGAGAGCTACAGAGAAACTGTTTATCTACCAGAAAGATGAAAAAACAAAATCTTAAGACAGGAAGGTGAAACTGCTCAGCAGCATGTCAGCTGGTCAAGTTATGCAATAAAAGAGCTATATGTATTTTATATATATAAAAATATATATTATATATATTAAATATATATATATTTTAAAATATATATATGTATTTTAAAAAGCTAGAAAAAGTCAGGCAGCACTTCATTGGAGAGCATGAGAGGGAGAAAGAAAGGAAACTATTTAAAACTTCTTTAGGACAACCCTTCTTCCTGCTGTCAAGCCAAATTCTTCCAAATATGTCATCAAGGTTAATGAGGTCCAAGGTTTTGGCCACCCTGTTAGACCAATTTTTCAGGCTCACACAGCTCATTAGCTGCTAAACAGCCTCATCTTCCTGCCTGCCTCTCACCTCTCCTGCCCACTGGAATGATTCAGGCAAAAACAGGTAGCGGAAGCTTGGTGACAAGGGCAACCCCTCCAAGGTTTCAGAAAACCAGCCCTGTTCAGCTGCGAGCGCAGCACACGCGCAACTCCCTTTGACACTTCATAGCACTGCCCAGCGGATTGGCTGACCTTTGCTCTGCTGCTCCATTTTTCTTCCCTCACTGCCATCGGTTTGCTTCCCTCTACTTTGTGTAAAACTCTCCGAGTTTTGGTGTCTCCATGAAAGCCCTGAGGACGCGGTGGCGCTGCGACTGTCAGCACGAGGAGCTGCGCTGCACAGAGGAAGCGCGCGGCCTTTCAGCACTGCGCAAGCAACGCAGGTCACGGCTGGGGAACCCTTTCTTTTGGTAATGGGATGTTTCAAGCAGCTTCTTGCTGCTCATCTTGCTTCCACCACAGCGCTTACTCGGCTATGGAGCAAAGCAGACTGAAGAGGTTTGGGCTCTGGCCAGTCCTCAATCTGCATGCACTCCAGGGTGCCGCTCTGTGAACGTGTGCGCTTGCATGCGGGTGTCCACAGCTGCTCACAACAGCCCTGGTGCCAGCGGCCTCCGCCACGACGTGATTTCAGGCTCTTCCCAAGCAAGGGCACTTAAGCCGTTTTCCATAGCAGCTCAGCTAGTGGCACGGGCTGCAGGAGCAGCAGGGGACGGGAGAGCTGTTGAAAGTCCATGGAAAAAAAGCCCGTGTAACCATGTTTTCAGTAAACTACACTTCCTCTGAGTCAAGGGAGGAATACTGTGGCATAAGCATTGAGGCAAAGGATTACGTCCTATTTGCTGCTCTTCTCACTCATTTATACCTTGCTACAAAAATTTTAATTCAGGAATGAAGATTTTAAATCTAGTCTAAAAACAGAGAAATTAAGGCACCTCAAGCATCTGAAATACAGAAGACGGGCCTGAATACACAGCTGATGCTAAGTGAGGCTCAGAATGTTAATTATTCCTATTCGGTTTTATAAATCCTTATCTTATAAGATTAAACCAATTATTTAAAAGAAAAGAAGGAGGAAAAAAAAAAACTTTGATCATTTTCCCCTGGAAACTTTTTTCTAGGAATGGCTAGACTCAGCATTTTTAATTATTGTGTCTCAGATAGGCATGGTAAGCTGAAACCAGGCAACAAAACCTTCCCTGTAAAGGAGTCAAAAGTTCCTACATACTGTAGCACTGCAACTTAGCAGCTGTACATTTGCCCCAAATTAAAAGGTTTCCCCACGACACGGTTCCACTCCATGAGATGAACAACTCCAGTAAGCAATGGAGCTTCTTTTCTGAAAAGCCCATAAAGTCAAGGCACGCTTGACTTTACTCTGTACCTTTACTCTACAAGGCTGGAGTATTCCACATGCATAGAAGAAAAGCTTGGAGAGAACAAATACCAAGGTTAAATGCTATAATTTAACAGCGTTTCCCGACAGTGTGCATACCTTGGCCTCCCGGCACCTGCCAGCGTCACAACCCGGCGCTTAGCTGGTTTTAAAGCGGTTCATTGGGACACCTAACAGGGCAGGCCGTCGTTTACCTTCCTGAGTATTATTCAGTGGGACAAGCAGTTGTTTAATTGGGACAGCCAATTATTTGGCTCTGTGAACGTGCCCACTTTTCAGTTATGCTCGTTTGAGGCCCTAAGAATCTCTGAGCTCTACGGGCACCCAAAGAGCCGCCAAACCAGAGAGCCAAGGAAGGCTCGAGAAGTGCAGCAAGCCCCATGGAGCAACTCCGCTCTGTGGCGGCCCGGGGGGGGCCGGGCGCTCCGGCTGCCCCAGCTCCAGCACCACCATCCGCTTCATCCAATGAGGCAACAGGAAGCTGCATGGCAGGCGCTGCAGTAGAGATTGTGAAAATTAGGTTCAATAAACACGTGATGGGCCTTCTGAAATAGCTCTCTACTTTGGAAGAAGCAGTGCTCATTGACCTTCAAGAACCTGCAAACATTAGGAATGGACATTTCAAACAATCATCCACAGAAACTTCTTGAAAAAGGTTCACAGAGGCACAGAAAGGCTTTGCAAAATTCAGAAAATAATCAAAAATAAGTAAATAAGCAAAAAATGCACATAGCCAGTTAACTATAGAGATAATTCTTTATAAAAGAGGAGAGATACCTCTTTAGGATACAATAACTGAGAGATGCTATTTACTAGATGAGAACTGTACTCGTTTGTAAGAGCTGTCTCTATGACCAAGTAAGCAAAGACAGATATTAGTCAGACTTATTTTGCTACAGTAACTTATGTTAACACTCAGCACACACGAGTGATCTCTATGCAAGTTAATTCACCCAATGCTGACTCAGCTGCCTGCGCAACATCCCTCGTGCACGTGCTAGCAGCAGGAACAGCTAACAGCAGGAACAGAAGGAGCAAGTATTAAGTAACTAGTGGCCTATTAACTTCCTAACATGCTGAACTTCCCTGCCGTGAACTTCCCATTTCTCGGAACCCCATATACTCAGCTTCTTTACCCAAAACCTGCTGTGCACATTAGACCACAGGCTCCTACCAAAGATGCAGTTTCTCATTTCAGCAAGGCATATTTGGCTTAAAATTGCTTGTCTTAACCACTCATTGATAAGGTACTGCACAAAAATAATAAAAACTTTTGCTTGAATTGAAAACCAGGTCTTTTTTAATCCACTCATCACAAAAACCCAAACCTAATTAGCAAGTGGCTGAACAGCCTAAACGTACTCAAAACGCATGGCAGAAGTGGCTGGTTTTGAAGACTTCACCCCCTGGCAGATTTCACAGGTACCTCTGCCTTATCCCACAGCAATTCACCACGCAGAATAGTAATGCTCAGGCTGCCAAAACGAGCGCTGAGGCATTCCACATCTATTTCTGTCTACCATACACTAAAAAAAGATCTACTGAAATACATATTTTGCAGAAGCATAGGAATACTTTTCCTGGTGTGTGTTATATTAATCTCCCAAGATAAATTAGCTGTCCTGGTAAAAGTACTTTTCTGCAAATAACTGCATGCATCCTAGGACTTCTTGCAGTACATGTATTAGGCCCAGAACTACCGATAGTTGCAGCATTGGAATTCCCACTCTAGACCTGGCCTTGGTTTCGTCTTGAGACCTTATCTAGCAAGAGAAAGAA